ACTGGCCGTCCAAGATGTGGTTACATTGATGAACGACTTGCTTGCGTTAAGAGGGAGTTGCATCTCAATCGACCACGTTGACAGTCGATCTAAGAGATCCTGGAGGTGGCGCAGTGGTCCTGCAGATTTTCAAATCATCTGTAAACAGGGCACATGATGACTAGAGCTGCTGCGGAAGATCGTTGACATGAATAAGAAATAACACTGACCCAAGTACATTTCCCTGAGGCACGCCACTGGTCGATAGGAACCAGTCTGTCAGGCAGTAATTGTCCTGTACTCTAAACTTTCGTCCCACAATTAAATCGTGTAACCACTGAAGTAGCGTGCCACCGATTACGCATGTCCTCAGTTTACGAAGGAGTACCTCGTGGTTTACTCTGTCCAACACCTTACTAAAGTCCATGTGCACTACGCCAACATCATTCCACTCGTTGAGAGCTCGTATGTACTGATGGTTTGCGCACAGTAACTTGGTGATACAGGATAGTCCTTTCGTGAAGCCCTATTGCGCTGGCGTCAATACGTCCATCGATTCGAAGAACGACAGCGGACGCTTTTTCATAACCCTCTCGAGAACTTTGGACAAAAGCGAAGTCAAACAGATCGGTCTGTAGTTCTCTATTTTACCCTTGGGAAGCGATCTCACTATCGAGCATTTTCAGTCGTTGGGGACAGATTCTTCAGAGAGTGATTTGCTGGATAGGTTTATCACCGCTGGTGAGACGGCATTCGATAGAAGCTTGAGTATTAGTGGGGGAAGTCCTTCTGATCCGGGGAAGCTTTACACCATCGAGGTTGACGAGTAGCTGATACACTTCGACTGCATCACATTGTAGGCTGTCGAGCAAGACTGGCGCAACCTGTGTCGATACTGGAACAGCCGACGGTTTACTGGAAAATACGGTGAGGAAGTGCATACCAAGGCGTTCGCGCGCTCCGCGCTTGAAATGAGCGACTGTCCGTTCAAGCTCTCTAAGACCGGCAGATCGCCCGCAGATTTCAGTTGGTGTTCCAAGTAGGCAAATATTCTCTTGTGATGGTTGTGGCCGAGACTGCTAGCTCTTCTTCCAACTACCGGCAGTTCTTGATCTTTGCTGCGTTATATAAGTTACGCTGTTTCTTGTGCACCGTATAATCTTCATCACAACCCGAGCTGATGTACTTATCCCAAAATTTGCGTCGCCGTCGCGCTGACTGTTTATATTCCTTATCAGACCAATGCGGTTTGACGAGTCCGACTTTTGAATACTTCAGGGGACCGAACCGAGTACACAGCGGGTTAAGCTTCCCTTTCATTACTGACCAACAGGCCTCAAGCGGTGCATCCTGTGACAGTGGCGGTTTGGACGAGCTCGTTGAAGTCCGTCTTCCAATAGTTGAATGTCGGCTTCCGTTGGTTGTAATACGGTAACAGCAGTTATGCTTGCCACAATGGAGCAGTGGTCACTGTTCGCTAGATGTTCGAGGACTCTGACCTCTTTCAGATTCTGCTCGCAGCTCTTCAACGAAGTGTAAACAAGATGCCGAGTGCGGACTCATGCGTGTCGGTTGGACGACATGTTACGTTGCCCCGATTTTAATAGTCATTTTATCGAATTGGGCCTCAACGTCGCCATGACCGGGAAGAAGCCGAACGTCTGGCCAGAATATCCTAGATAAATGTAGGTCCCCCATCAGTAGAAATTGAGGGAGGCTTATATGCTTCTGTACATGTGGTAGCTAATCGCAACAACAGTTTAATGGGCTACGGTAGATAACACCCACTATTAGCTCTGCGCGTCTGGGACAGATCGAGCACCACAGTTGTTCGCATAGGTTATCCTCACTCCGATAGTTGCTGATATCTTTGCAAGGGAGTGACGATTTGATGTACAACAGAACATCACCCTAAGCCTTTGATTTTCGGTCGTATCGGAAACAAGAGTATCCTAACAAGGCGAATTCCTGGGTAAGACGTTGGTGTTCAACCAAGTCTCTGCAAGCCCTAAAACGTCCGGTCGTTCCGAGACAGTAAAGCGGCACAGTTCGCGTCACGTTTGTTCATTGGGCTGCACATATTGGTGAATGCCACACGGTGGTCCTTGGAGATACCGCGGGACGTGTTTGAAAGTTGAGCAACCGGTTGACACGAGTTCGTGGACCCGAAAGTGTACACTGTGCAAGTCAGTCTCACCTTCTGTACGGCGTTGAGCTCAAGGACCGTAGTCTTCAAACGATCCCTGTCCTCGGGTTCCAAGTCTCTGCGGATTTGAACCTTTCTATCCTTCAGCCTTGACAGACGAGACAGTATGACTTGCGGCATGTTGTGATTAGCAAAGGTGATTCTCAGAGGTCGACATGACCGGTTAGTTTCCTGGCCAAGTCGTACTACTTGTTTAATCCCCACACTATCTTCACCCACATCCAAGAGTCTATCGATGAGTCCCTGGAGAGACTCAACCTCGTGATCATAACGTATCTGAGAGTTTTCGCTTTTTGATTCTGGTGCATGGAAGACCATGCGATCATGACGCCTCAGTCAAATTGTTGATGAACATATGGGTGCAGGACTAGAGATGCTTATGTATTTTAGTTGTTGCTTACCAACAGGGCGCGCTTGAACTCGATTATGTGCCCCCATGTGCTTTTGAGTGGTCCATGGATCCTCGGTGTTCAGAGGTTCACAGACAGCTCTGAGAAATTCACGGACTGATCAGCGCGGCGGCAGTTCGTAGGTTCCGATTCTGAGTCTTCAGTCGGTGGGAACATTGAACCTGAGGTTCGGCGGGAGTCAAAGACGCTGGTGATAGTGCAGATCGCGAAATAGCTGGTAAAGTTGAGTTGACAGAGATACTATCACGGGGGCTTTTGATCTCACGTGGTGAACGGTGTGTTTCCGCCTGTAAGAGTGGTTTTCCTATGGTCGGTGACTGTCGCTGTGTATTTTCATGTGTTGAGCTGCGACATTTGTCACATATAACCTGGAAAAAGTCATTTCGGATGTCGAGCGATTTTCGAAACGCCTCAACGGATAGGCCAATGCATGAAATATGGAACAAAACGTCGCAACCGAAGCACCGAAGTGCATGAGCCTTTCGTACACGAACCACAAGTAGCTTGAGACGGCATCACAGGCTAGAGCAAATCCAAGATGACGGACAGAGACGGCAGTTGAGTCAATCAATGAGATCTCCGAAATTAGCCAGACAGTATCTACCAACTTTGCACAGATTGAAAAATAAACCGGAAGAAGAATATTTGTGCAGAATTCACAGAGAAATGCACGGATACCACAGTAATCCCGAAGCAAACGTAGAATCCTGCACAGTAATTCAACCTATTTCCCACGTACTCCCTTTTTCGACAGGAAACTGCAGAGAGCAGCTCAGTCGATAGTCAAATGTAGTATGCATGTCCATGAAGCAGACGATGATAGGCCGACTGAAAGCTCGACGATGCTTGAGCATATGGCAGATTGTTAAGTTGTGATCTACACCGCTTCGACCTGGATGATATTCACCCTGTTCTTCACGTTTGTGCTGTTCACATATCCGCCTCCGTAAAATCAGCGAGGCGTGCACTTTGGACGCCGCGCACAGGGCGCCGATCCTTCGGTCATCTCTTCTGAAGATGGGCATGATGTCCGCTAAGCCTCAATCAGATAGGATGACTTCTGTGGTCCAAATCTCTTGGAGGAGAATAACTAATTCAGAAAGGAGTTGCAGACCTTCGTCCTTGAAAATAAGCCGAGGCAATTCTTCGGGATCGGGAGATTTGCGACCCTTCAGAAGACGAAGCCCATAGGCAACCTCTGCCTCAGATGGCGGAGAGGTGTTTTCACACCAGGGAACACCGTGGATGCAAGAATGGCAACTCGATTTTAATGGGAGCCAATTGAACTGCTGTTCCAACTGCCTAAGGTACAAGCTGGTGTTGGCAATTAATAAGTATTCCAAATTGACTTGCAATCTGTTATACAGGCTTACAAACGGTAACTGATGGCGGTGTTGTCAATTTGCCTCCACGGTTGTCCAGGCGAAGGAGGTAACCAGGTGGCGCCGAGGTGCTCAACGTTTGTGCTCGAAACGAATAAACCGTGATCAGCACATGGCTGTAGAAGACGATCTCCTTTATCAGTCCTCCCTTCATGGAGATTCCCGGTTGCCCAAACCGAGGAAGGGTTTACTTGACGGATCCCACCTGGAGTGCTGACCCATTGACCTGACCCGCAAGGCTTCAGAGCGATGAACGTATATCGCGAACCGTCGGGACCCTGTAACGTAACTTTCGAGTAGTAACAAATTACTCAGGGCGCCCGAACAGCCCGATTATGGCGGCACACGGGTCAGAAAGCGTCTGTGTGAATACGAAGATCGTTGACAGTCAAGTAGCTCATGTATCTCATTAGCGTTTGATAGGATTCCACAAAGTAGCCTGTGGTCAGCAAAGTTGTTCATCCACCCTCCGTTAGACATGCGTCTCTGGTTAGATAAGTGAGTGATCAGTGACCCTGTAACCGGTAACATTGACTTTGACACATTACCTTACTAGCTCTTTTAGTATGTACTGGAGAATCAAATGACCAGCCCAAAACTCCATACACTCTGAGACTCTGCCGCTGGTTTTTCGCGACTGCTTATTCGTCTCATATGCGAAGCAATCGAAACTTATTCACAAGTAAGGTATTCACCGATCCGGAAACTGTGAACGGGCCCCATAATGTACTGCCCCCTATCAGTAGTGGGTAGTCGTAGATACGAATCTCGTAGGGTTTTAATTAGGTGTGCATCGTTGTTGAAAAGTGACCAGAACAAAATCCTACCTGGCGCTTTTCTGAGTGTTTGGTGGTCTGATGAGTTATTTGAGACGAACCTAGTTAAAGTACTTCATAATATTCTACTGTTTTCCCAGTACTCGAATTCTCTACTTTTAATGGGTACCGCTAATATTTTTATTGTTTCCGATGATAGATGTTAGACTTCTTTGTCCACGTTTCACTCGGCTGTCCATTTTTCCAGACTTGGACTACATCACCCCGATGTTGCTGCCGATGACTTTCGAGGCCTTGATACACGAAGTGATCGGAATCAATTTAGGTATGTCTGTTGCACCATTAAGGTGGTGTACTGTCCTCCACGTTAGAGATCTCCATTGTTTTAATTTTTCGGTGGAACATCACTTTTTCCTCCTGCTCGCATTGCAGAATGCGCTCTGCAGTAATACCACATCACTTTACCACTGTTTCACCTATCATTCCACTCTGCCGTAGCCCGTATTTGAATCAGTGCCTCGTCGAAAGTGTACTCAGCATGTTACGTAGGAGCGGAATCATGGAGTCCACCACGCGACTCCCATTCAGACATTATCATTAATACGTGGGTAGAACAATAAGTTTCCGGGTGCACAGGCTTTATTTTTTTACAATTATCATTGCATTTTTTCGAAGTACTCTCCACTTGCGTTCATGCACAGTTCCATGCGCTTAACTCATTGGGAGCTGCAGCTAGTCCATACCGAACCAGGTAACCCTTTAATTAGCTCATTAAATGCCTCTACTGCGGCTTCTGGAGACTCGTATCGGGTTCCACACATCATGCGCTTGACATTTGGGAACACAGAAATGTTACACGGAGCCAGATCTGGACCGTACGGTTTGTGACCAGCCTCCTGGATACGTTCTCTAGCCAGAAAATCTACGACGTCTTGGAACCTATGTGCAGGTGCGTTGTCATGGTGCAGCAAGGTCCCTCGTGCTCGAGTTCTTGCACGACGCCTTGCTACAGCTTCCAGCACTTGTGGCAGACAGTGGCTTACCGTACAAGCGGTACGGTGGCCACAAACACAGGCACTATCTGCTTGGCGACATTGCACTCACGCCGGACTTTCTGAGGCGGCGCCCCAACAGTGACCGTCCACTGAGCCGATTGTTGCTTGTTCTCTGGATCGAAACTGTACACCCATATCTTATCACCACTGAGGACCTCCCAAACAACATTGGAACATCCACAATCAAATCCAACAAGCATGACGCGGCACCAATTCACCCGAGCTGGTTTCTGGTCCCCACTGAGCTGATTGGGTACCCAGTGTGCGCAAACCTTTCTGAGTCCGAGGATCTCGTGTAGGACGGGGCGGATTGATCCAAATGGCTTTCCCCAGCTGTATCACAGTCATCTGCGCGTCCTCCCCAGCATCCCTAACACAGCAGAAATACTGCCCGCGGTGGTGGCCTCCACATCTCGACCACACCGTGCCTCATCATCCAGGGACCGCGTGCCACGCTTGGTTTCCGCAAACCACTCAAACTAAACGTAGCACGCAATCGCTCAACACTATGGTATTGCTTTAAATCACATCTGTATTCATAGATCATCGCATTCGTGACATCGAGTGTTCTATACCTATAGTCGGAGTATACCGACACTTATGACTTTGAGCTGTGTTGGGCTGCTGATATAGGGTTCTGTGTGTTAAAATCACTGAACGTTGTCCAGAATGGATTACACTTCACATTTTCTTGCCATGTCATAAGCACCTAATCTGTGTACCGCGTATCCGGACACTTATTGCTCTGCTCTCGTACAGCCTATGAACAACATCTGGACGGCCCCTTTGAAGTCGATGTACGCCGAATAGACAATAGTGATCGATTCCTGCAACTGTGCGCCGTGCACAACTTTTCACCTTAGCAGCACTGCTTCGTAGCACAGACGTCCACACTGTCTCACTTGGCGCCCACCGAATTCCTTAATAATATGGGCCTAACTTGACCATATTGCCATCAGTTACCGTTGGCGCACACCAGCCCAAGACTGCCGGTCAATTTGGATTCCTACCATGCTGTTGCGCGCGCACGCTTGGCGTTCACTCTTCTCGTTTCAACGAATCGTCTATCTTCTTACCATCTTATCTGTAACTCGAACTCGTAATTTGCAGTTCAACAATATCATGACGGACTGACCCACCAGATGTCAGTTATGAATGAAGTTGGTGTAGCGAACGCTGACTGGTATCGTCTCAAACGTGCCATGAAGAACGCCTTTGACACATGCTGTACACCTAACTTGAGATGTCGTAACTGTAAATGGATCTCTGAGGTATCGACCAACTTGATCGAAGCACGGAAACAGTTTCCGATGGGTACTGAGTTTCGGCGTGTCCGTAACTCTGAAACGGCGCATCGCAAGGAGTTTTCTAATCGACCGCGATCGTTGGTGGTAAGGAAAGGCCCAAGAGATGGAGAGAGTCAGTTCCATTGGGAACAGCTGGGTGCTATTCCAACTCAACTGGAATACGGGGTTCGAGAAAGCCATCAGTTAACGAGACAATAGCTGAGAAAGACGGACAATTCATCCATTCTCTGCGTCATCGACTAGCCCGTTGGGCGGAACATTTTGAAGAGCAGTTCAGCAGGCATACTGCGGCATTGCCGATTGCTGAATTGTCTGAGCCGACGTGTGAAGTAGATGTCACACCTCCCACTTTGAAAGAGACTCGACATGAGCTTTCCGTGTTGAAACGAAACAAGACTCCTGGTCCCGACGACCTCCCTCCATCGTTGCTGAAAGATGGTGGTGACTCTTTGTTGACTGGACTAGCTTCTCTATTTAACACGATTTGGAGCACTAAAGATGTATTTTCAAACTGGCAACTGTCAACTGTCGCCCCCATCTACAAGAAGGGTCAGCGTACTTTAAGCGAAAATCATGGAGGCACTAGCCTTGTTTCTGTTGCATCCAAACCTCTCATAGGTATCATTCTCCAACAACTTACTGATCTCTGTTAGCACCGATTCAGTGAAAGCCAGGCTGGTTTCCGCCCTGGTCCTGGTTCCATCGATCCCATATTTACTCTTCGCCAAGTTTTAGAGCAGTGACACACATACAGATGACAGACAATGGTGGTTTTTAAAACCAACTAGATGTCCCGACACCGTGCTCGTCACTGTTTTCGTTCCACCTACACACAGCCATGTCGAGCATTGCGCACGGATTCTCTCAGACAATCTTCTGGTAGTACTTCGGACATCACATGCTCGACATGAAAAGAAATAAGTACGTAACCGAGGAAGTCTGTCCTTGAGTTGAAGCCTTACGATTGGTGTTGTTTTCCCTGACTTAAAAGCTGCCTTCGACTCTGTTGACCGCGTCAGCTTGTGGCACTGCATATCGATGAAGGGCTTGCCAGCTAAATCCCTTTCTATTATGCAATCTCTCTCCCGTGGCTCCCGAGGCCCTATAACGGTCTACGGGAGACTATCTACTGAGTTCCCAACGACAAGTAGGGTCCGCCAGGATTGTCCTATATCATGATCATAACTGACTCGGTTCTTTCAAACGCTATCAGAGTGGAAGTTCTGCCATTTGACAGACTGACAAATCTGGAGTATGCGAACGACATAGCTCTTCTTGCGTCTCACGCAGTGGTTATGCAAAACACTACTGGATTGACTGACGCTTAGCGGTGCACGCGACGGCATGTGCTTTGCAACTTCAAAATGCAAAGTACTGCTGCAGGACTGGACCGCCACACCTCCGGTCCTAGCTATCACCGAATAATCACTGGAACTGATGAATCGGTTCACTTACCTTGGTAGCTGTGTCACTTCTGGTAGTCAAATCACTGAGGAAGTTACATCGCGTATTAGTAAGGCCCGTGTAGCTTTCCAGAGACTTAAACATTTGTAGAGATGGCTGAATATCAGCCTGGGGTGTATAACTCTGCGATATGGCCAGTTTTACTGTATGGATCAGAGATCTGGGCAGTTCGCCGTGAAGACAAACGCTTGGCCGTGTTTGATCATCGGTGCTCGCGAAGTATTGCTAACATTTGCTTAGAACACCTGGTGAGCAATGCTGAGATCCGCCATTTGGTTTTCGACAAGAAGTCTTTTGGTACCTCACTGGAGTGGTTGCTAAATCTTAATCGTTTACCTCGGTTAGGTCATGTCCTCCGTATGCCCGTTGCCTGGCTTCCTCGGTGTGCATTATACGCCCTGATCGCACCAAGTTGGGTAACAGCGCGAGTTGTCAGTCGATGACGTAGCATCGAGGCATAAAGCAATTTATTGAGACTTGATCAAGCTGCTGCTTGCCGTCTTCGTGGATGGGGCCATCGGGATGGTCAACACCAATGGTTAGACACCGTATCAGAAATGGCGCAGTCAGTGGCGTCCCTGCATCTGGTTGTTGATTTTCGTCCTATTAAGATTAGTTTAACGTACTTCATTCTTGTTTCCATTTTCTTTACATTCTATTTGCTTTGGCCCCACTATCTTGCCTTTGTTATCTATTGTTATTGTTGCGATGTGAGTCGTGACGACTGGATCCGCCGCACTTCGGTGCTTGGATCATAGTGGACCAACTGCATTTATCTGAACTCCCCTCGTACACGTTAGCTGAGGGTAAGAAACACATCGCAGCTATTACGGCGCAATACACGAAGATACTAAACCATCACTGTACACAAAACATAAGTAATGTAATGCGCAGTGTGATTGGACAGGAAAGCGAATCGACACAGAGAAAGTTACAACTCAAGCACCATTAGGGGTAGCCTCTACCATTTCTTCAAGTGTATCCAACCAAACGTGTTCATCATCCTTAGAACCCCAACCCGGCAGTCGGGAGACACCAACCGGCACCCACTTCAGAGTGAGTATTTTCATTCCTCTTGACTAACTCATCGGTTAGCTTCGTCTCCGCCTCTTCTATCTAGACCCCGGCCTTGCAACCAGCACACATCGCAGGAGTCGGTATGCTGGCATGCGCAACGCGTAATCCAGCCATCTTAGTCTGGTGTGTGACAGAATAGTGCTAAGCGATCTACTCGCTCTTCCTGCACATCGAGCACACTCATTACTCACGCGGTGTACGCACCAACCATGAGATAAACTGCGAAGACAGCGATTGTCGAACTTTAGGTACGTCAATCTTATGGACAAGGTTTCCCAACCGTACAAAAGGGTTGAACGAGCGGCTGCATTGTAAACTCTGCTTTTCAAGGCGAGAGTAATATCGCGCCGGCACCACAGTTGACGGAGATTGGCAAAAGCGCCTCGAGCTTTCGCTATCGGGTTTGTGATCTCACCTTCCTTTCTATTGATGCTGATATAGCTGCCGAAATACTTGAATTTCTCGACGACTTCTGACTGATCCCTACTAAGGGTCAGCGCACGGGTGGGTCCCTATCAATCTTGGAGAAGGACTTTGCATTTAGAGGGTGCAAATCACAGCTCAAAACGACTGACAGCCAGTGCTGATTTGTCCACTGCCACTTGGTAAGTTGGAAAACTGTCACAGATGAGGGCTAGGTCGTCGGTGTACTCCAACTTTAGAAGTAATTCATCTGGAGGCGGCTCCACACCGTGTAACTCGTGTCCAGTGAACGCCGTGTCCATGAATTCATCAGTGGTGAAGTTAAAAAGGAAAGATGGCAGTAGGCAACCTTGTCCCACACCGCTGGAGATATTGAAAGGTGGCTTCAGTTTGCCATAAACCCTCACTCAGTCCGAACTATGCGTGTATGGCGTTCTCATTATCTTTAGATCATTTTCGGTCACATCGATCCACCGAAGCAACTGCACTTTTGACATCGAGGAACATGACTACGTTGGGTCTCTAGTGAATATGGCGGTGCTTCAACAACTAACGTAAAGTAAACACATGGTCAATGCAGCCTCCATTTCCACGAAACCTGCCGTGGTCCTCGCGAATCTAATTTTCACGAGTGCCATCAAGTCTAGTAGAAATGGCAGAGTGAGTACCTTAGAGGCAATCGAGATCAGGATGTTTCCTCTATGATCGCTTCATTCCGAACTTGAGCGTCACGTGAAAACTGGGACTATAACGGAGCACCTGCAGTCTGTTATGACAGTTTCCTTCTCTTGAAGCTTCATAAGCGGGTTGTGTAAATTATCTACGGGAGCAGGTCCCCCTCCATCAGGGTTGGAGGATGTCTATCTGCTGCTATGGTCTCACTCGTTTTCGACAGTTACTCTCACGTTCTACCTCTCTGAGTGAGGGCAGCTCCCAGGGAGAAGGGCGATCGATGGTTGATAAGGTGGCTATTAACTCTTATTAATCAAACTGCTTTTCATAGTGTTCGGCTCAACCTTCCGCATGGTTTGATAAACTGGACGGACTGTCCATTCTCTTCGCATATAACCTCGCAAACACCAGATGTGCCTGTTTTTGGGTATCAGACTCGATACATTACGACGGTTATCAACACTGCGACTGTTTGCATCTCCCATGCACATCGAAGCCACCTTCCTTCTCGGTCTTCTTAAGGACTGGCACGCAGTTTCGCCTTGAGGTCCTTGCAAATCTCGTTGTGTTCGCTTCTAGCCGGAATATGTCGGCAAGCATCCGAGGTTTTAGACACTGCGCTGAGACCCAATGTCCAGGTTGACAATTTGATTTGCCACACGTAGACATGCCTGCTGCTAATAACGTCTGGGAAATCTGCTACCAGTGATCTTAACTTGTGTTAAGTGAGCGTTCATTCAGTTCGGATATCAGCGTACTTTGACACGCGTTTAGTACATCTGTCGTCCCGTGGCCTTAAGGATCACAAGCTTGCCTTGTAGTCTGAAGTCGCGGTTTCGAGCCTTCGTAGGGAACCGGGCAACTCTCGTAATACCCGTAGTCCATGCGTGTCTAGTGGTGGCTGCCCGGCAGCGAATCGCCGTCACTGAGTACCAACGTATTGCTGATACCTGGCTTCACCAGTTAACTAGTGTCTATGCGCTCACAGCGACGTTGCGAATGTCCGCCGACACCCACCCACACATCGGCACAGACAACTGCGTGGTCGGAGTCCATGTTCATGCTACAAATCGAGTGATAGTTTTGTGCACAACCTCTCGCACGGTAACTGATCGCGATGTGATCGATTTGTTGTCCATGGCTAATCATCACCTTGTCACTTTGGTAGGTGCTGTGTTGTCGGAAACTAGTGCTTGCGGAAATGGACGAACATCTTCGCACTGGTTAGCAACCGCTCACCGTTATCATTACGAGAGCGTACACTATGTTGGCTGCTCAGATGTAGCTCATCATTGAACAGTTTTTCAACTTAGGCGTTGAGATCACCAGCCAGCACCCTACTTTTATTGTAACGAAAAGTGCGCGTTAAGTCATATTTCACCGAATCCGGGCTAGGGTACGTGGGCGCGTATACAGCAATGGACTACCAGGCGCGGTTCGTTCCCCTCGCAACTTCGGAGCTGTTGGCTGGGATCTATTCGATCAGGACAGCTTCACTCCGGGAGCTCAGAGCAATACCCAAATCGGCTTGACCAGCATTCGTAGCTGCATACATCTCCGGACAACGCGTTGCGAAAGTGCCGCCAGTGTGCAGGTGGGGGATCGCAGGATAAGTACATCGCTCGAATCTTGCAGGCGAGTTTACGACAAAACAGCAAGTATCGATCGATAGTGTCCTCCAATTTTCGGACATGTGTTGTCTGTTGGCCAATCTGTAACAGAGTGTGCACGTTGAGGCATACCAGCCTTAGCGAGAATCGAGGGCTCCAAAGAGAAACGGATGAACTGACGTTGTCCACTTGTTTGGACAAGGGTTTGTCGATTAGACCTGAGCGACGCCCTACAATTACTTGTGAGTGGTAACTATAAACTAAACGATTACTGAATCAAGACGGGGGAAAGGCCAAGAATTACGGGTTGAAAACTGGGGGATAAAAGTGAACTTGGAGCGGGGACGACAGTGATGAAGTGCGGTAAATAAGAAGACGAGACACTTCAAGCAATATAATCCTGGACGCATTCACCCTGCTCGATGCAGCAGATAGGGGGCTGTTCAGTATCATCTGCGATGGCCAGCGTACCAAGAAATTGTTTGAGGAAAGGTTTCATTGTATTATATTACCTTGGTAGGATTCTGTCAGTTTGCCCATTCCTAGACTGGCGAACGATAAGGGTTATCAACCAAATTGTTTAGTTAACAAACCTGTTGGCGATGCAGCGTATTTGACACAGAGTCCGTTTTATGGAGTGAGGGACCATCCTCACTCCAAGACCCAACCTGGTGGATCAGGAGACGGAGTTTGTCTGGACTCTATCGATTGACCAATCTGGTGCGAGTGGCTCTGAAGGCACCACCCAGCCTAGGTCACTGGCTCATTTAAGCACGCAAATCATCACAACACATTAAGATTCAGTCTCAATTCCATGAGCTGATTCTCGTTGTGATTTGCGTGCCTCATGGTACACACTTTGACCGGTCCACAGACAGCAACTGCCCTCTCGATCAATATCTGCTGCTTATCTGAAAACGCGCCTCATAAATTCGAGCTGTGTTCAACTTACGATCCCTTCTGTCTAACCCTAACGGTATTTTTGCAACGCGCCTACCGGAGTTAACGCAGCTTCAGATCCCGATCATGCTGGTGTGGGTATTGCCCTGAGTCTAGTCTGTAGCTTCTCTGGTTGACTGGATCAGTATCCAGCTGTAAGAGATCAGATTGACAAACCTTGTCTAAACATTCAAACTCATGCGGAACCTTTGTTGACTACGTCCCCACAAACTGTAGCACTTACGCCCATCTCCGGTCCCTGGTCTAAAAGATCACAGACCTGTCTTGTAATCCGAGGACGTGAGTTCGAGCCTGGGTAGGAAACCGAGCAACCGTCACAGTGACCTTATCTCACGCGCGACTGGTGGTGCTTTCGCGGCTGCAAAGCGTCAGTATTTCGTACTGGTCTACTGCTGTTATCTATCTGTCCATCTATTGTCAATTGAACTATCTCCGTCACAGAAGTACAAATACCTTAGTTCTGGTTAGCGATCTGAACGCTCAACTTGTACCTTGATGAACTACATCTAGGCGGCCATGCACTCCCGTAATTTGACGGTGAGCGGTTACTACACTAATGTGAAGATGCGCGTTTATTTTTTCGCGAACACTAATTTTCAAAACAGCACTCGCCGCAGGATTACACGGCGCCTACCACGCAATCAGTTATCGGTGATGAGGTTGCGCTCAAATCTTATCGTTCACCTTAAAGCACAAGTACGGACTCGGTTAGAAGCCTGTGGCGACGCTGTGAGCGTCTAGACACCTCCCATTTAGTGAAAGCAGATGTTTTGAATGCGCATCAATGTCGATGAGAGAAATTCGTTCAGTAAAATAGCGTCGGATAGGCGGTGATATGCTTCAGATTTAAACTTTCTTCGTTATCTAGTCCGGCGGTGCGACTGTATGGCTCTACTGGCACGGTAGGCGACATATATTAATGTTCCCTGTGTCACCATGATTCGCTTACCTGGCCTTTTGCAGATGGCGATCATTATCTACACCCATTTGAAATTATGACATTTTTTTTCTCTCCCACTGAGACACATTTGGCCTTTGGTGCATTTGACGTGAAATACATTTTCATTTGTAGGCGTTGTTGAACTCCCCGAGTCTGTTTGTCCAGACAAATCTATGCGAAAGCAGTTACTTAGCAGTGACAAGCTCCATTATTATAAAGTAGTATTTCTATATCTGCGAACAATCTAGAGATTGGCAGGCACCCATTGTTGTCAATCATAGTGTCACACACTTCTTTCCCAGCTCAATGAATTGCTTACGTGCTCCACTCTTCCCTATTCCTCTAGGTTGTGTTTTCACTACATTTTTCCACTAATCTGCATCACATTCCTGTCATCACTTCGATTAGTGACGTCCACCTGCGCCACTCCTACCCATTACTATTGGCGTCGTAACTTTGGGATGCTGATGTTCAGTTCATGCTTTTGGGTTACCACTTTGTGCGTATTTTACTCTCATGTTGACTATATAGGTACTACCGAGCAGCCAAAAAGGGTATTTCATCTGGTCACTTTCGCTTTCTTCGTTTCAAGGATGTGCGCGATGTTCATATCTCCCAAGTTCACACTCTTCTGGCTGCTTGGAGCAAGAGTCTACAAAGCACACAGGCAGAACTACAACAATCAAGCAATCTCGTGCTAAGCTCGCAACTTTTCCGGGATCGCTGAGCGGCTCTTGTTCACTGAAACAGTTTGAATACGGAATTTCGTCCCTTACTTGAAAAGCGAAGGGAACTTACTTTCCTTTCTCTGGTTCTCGAATATATCATGGAAGTGATTGACTCGCCGTGAAAGAGTCGAGGATCTCAGAGCCGCCCAGACCATTTTGTTTACGTTCCGGCAGCGGGGGTCGCCTGGCTTCAGTTAGCAACAAAGACACTTCCAACAACGAATCGGATCAGTCTTCTAACAGCAAGCACCACCTTAGCACCAGGCGCTGGTGGATCATGTGGAACTGATGCTGATTCACTCACTTCTATGCCGGTCCGTCTAATTATTGAGTTGTTCAGTACCCAGTAAGTTTAGTGTCAGGATCCTCGTAGTTTATCATTTGTGGACATCTATGTGCTTTCCAAACTCCTCCTGGTAATTGTTTTAGGTTCCATCACCATTTTGCGTGTACTTGTTTTCTAGCTATGCACAGTCCAGCGTCTTTTGCATAGCAAACTTTCCCATCATCTCACATCGCTTGTTGCCTTTACTTACCAGTCATATTGTATTTGAGCATCATCTACCTATCCAACTTCGCATGACTGAATGAATTTAGGGATATTCCGACTGTAAACGCATACGGTGAGCAGCGATAATATAGCAGAACAGGAAATCAATCTCACCACCCTTATCGATTGAGGCACAAGTGGGCCAGTTCAGTGAATCTGAGTGACATTCAGAAATTCCACAGTTAGGTGCATCCACCAGGCCTGCGTGGTCTGAGGATGCCACATCCTCTCTGTAGGCAATCCTTGACGGCAAATCTTATGTTAGTTCCGTTGCCGAATCTGTGAACTACTTCAGTGTACTCGAGTTATGATTGTTCTTCACTAAATCTAGCTACATTCTCTGTTAATTTTGGTTTCGTAGATACATCCATCCAAGCTGTTCTTGAGGCGCTTTGTCCGAAGCAAATGCTTGATGCCTAGCGAGTTTGGCTATCGTTATCTGATGCAGTAGATATTATTGCTCCGAACAGTGACCTGGTTGCATCGTTTCGCTATTTCAAGGATATTTGCCTTACCGTCCATCGACTACGCGATTCTTTAAATCCTCTTATGGTTTTTTATGTCATTCACATAGACAGTGAAGTTTCTTCCTCGGTCGAATCCCTTTCGTTTTGATTGGCTTCTATCGGCATCTGAGCAGCAACGATGTTTTTTATTAGTTAGTATACCCTTTCAGCCTATCATCATTTGTCCAGAGCCTTTTTACTTATCCACTTGTGTTACTAAGGAACTTTGCATCTGTTTACTGGCTTATAAGTTTCATTTCTTATCTTATCACACTTCTCATACTAATAACTGCTTTTGTAGTGATTTTCACTTCCTTCCCTCTTCTTTTCAGCCACGGAGCGCGTCTACTCGATGGGCTCCGTCTAGCTTCTCTGGCCTCTGTGACCTCACGACGGTTTGGGAGATGAGGTGTACTCCGCCGTGCATAGCACATTTCTTCATGCGATCGGTCAGGCTGCGTTCCCTATGCTTTTCGCCTTCCGGGTCCTCCGAATTTTATCACCTTATACTTCTGCTAAGCATTCACCTGACAGAGAGAGGCATTCTGTCCATAGCCTTTCTTCTGCAGTCTCTCGTCTCACTTTATTGTCTCGACGAAAGTCCTTATACAAGTGAGCGGATTAACGCGTCATTGTCAAAATTGCCCAGTTTATTTTGTTATAATGGTGCTGCAGTTATCTTGTATCACCCTGGAACAAAGTTTTCGTAGAATTATGTAGCAACTATACGATCTTGTTCGCGCGTTTATTCATATGGATACTTTGGAGTCAAATACTTGCAGCTATCTCGCCTCTGCATGATATGATTCTGGCTCATGGTAACTTAAGGAAACGGATATAGGTTGTGCCGGCACAATTCAGCAAGTGTATGCGGCAACTGAAGTTTGCACAACTGACTAAATCACGTGGGGTTGTATTGTGGGGAGATTCTCCAGGCAGGGTTTTGTCCTACTGTTGATACTGAGCAGTCTCACTGCTTCACTACGCGGACACACGGTCATTAATCGAGTTGGACGATGGCCGTCCATTAACTCTTGCTTCTGTTTCTCCTAGTTGTTTTAACAATTTTTAACCGAAATCGAGAGTATCCAATGCCCTCAAGTCACTTCACAATAATAATCATAATAATCATAATAATGTTAAAGACAATTCATCGGGAATAAGGAACTAATTGGAATACGCATGTGATTTCACGTTTATTGGCACAAATGCGGCTGTCCACTGGGGTCCATAATACAGGATGGACGTTTGCACTCCCTGCCAAGAACAACTCTGGTGCTGTAACTGCCGCAGGCGATAGAATCGGGCTCATCGACAACGTAAAGTGGTATACTCTGCCATTAGAATCCGGACATGTTAAAAGCAGATGTGTCGCAACTTCAACTCGGAGGGAGTGCAACTTCATGATGAATATCCCCTTCTCAGCGACCTGACACTGTGTATGAACGTTGAAAGACCCGATGCCAGACAGCACCTTGGGTCTGAATGAGGCCGCGATCTCATCGTTAGTGTAGCTGACGAAAGCAGTTGTAGTCTGTATTTGTTTGAAAGGATACCTGAACAGCTGATTAAACGTACGAAGGAATCAAGGTGGTTGATAACGGTGGGTTTTCGACTAGATGATACACCCAAGTGTCAACCCATAACCTAAGGGTCACCGACTCGGAATCTGCGTAGGTGCGAGTGACTTCGCAGTATTCTTAGCCTACACGCTACTGGTTTTTGGTCGGGTGGCATCGAGGCGTCCCTGCGCAGCACTGATGTGCTGCTGATGCTTTCTGCTTCTCCTTTATTGATACCCTCCGTGGAGTGTGAGGTGTGCAACCACCGGCTTTCAACTTAATGATATACTCCACAATGCAGCAGGATAATTGGCGGTTTGTTTGGAGTTCTCCACTCGGAACCTTTGATTTAACAGTCTGTAACCCACTAAACCCTTGGGAAAATCTTCCACTCGGTAATTTTACTTTAAAACCACGTTGGGTTATACTTGCGACCGACCACAAACAGCCTGAATGGGTGTGGACCAAAAAAATCGTATCAGATGATATGTCGGCGGTCACAGCCCCCTTAGTCTTGGTAGACTGTGCCTTGTTGATCAAGAAACGCCTTGGAATTGGCGATAACAGGCCATTGAGCAAGGAAAGTGCTCTCCCACTGTCTGCGACAACCCGTGACGCCTGCGCTCCGTGTAAACCGAGCTGAGCAAATCTCTAACTTTTCTCTCTCTCATAACTAGGATTTGACTTCCTTTCATTTAAACGACCCTGTTCATGGCATTAAGACGCGGTGAATCCAGTTACCACGGCTTGCATTGCCAGAATAACAATAAATAACGCTAGTGAAGAAAATAAGTAGGACGTAAACAGCATAGAGAAAAATGGGTTTTAGAAAAGTGCTAGGACGAATCGAGATGGTGAATTGACGTCTATATGCGAGAAATCAGATGCCGTAGCACCACTTGTTCCTTGACTGTGACCTGTTCTATAGGGTCT